TTTCAAAAGAATATGTTGAATTTTAATTCCAAAGAATTTGCTATTTATAAGAGAAGACAAGTAAGATTTATTAAACCTGTTCATGTAAATAACTCATTGATTATGTATAATTTTTTTGTTGTCAAAAAGGTCACATGAAAAGTGATTGCTATGTGAAAAAAATATAAAAAAAGGCATGAAATGCATATGGATAGTTAGACATGATACTATCTCTAACAAGTAGGAGATATTGGTAAGATTGATGAGATTCTTGTTCATAATACTTTTTTGTAATTCTCTTTTGATGTTTCTGATGTCTTGAACTGAATTTTCCTTGATATTTTTGAATACTATTGAATTTATATGATGTCAAAAAGGGAGAGAAAAGAACAATTTCGATCTAATGATGATTTGCTCTCTGTGATATATTGGTATGTTGGTGATTGCTAAATTCTGGTATCATTTCTCTATTTCTTATTTGGAATATTGGATTTTCTGTTATTGTTGCTAGATTACGGTATGAGATTTTCATTCTCATCTTATGATGACAAAAAGGGGGAGAAATGGATGCTATGTGAAAGGGGGAATTATTCTAGAAATGGATGCAATGAGTGAGGGGGAGTTTATGCTCATATGCTCAATCTTTTCCTTCCTTCCATCCATTGCTTTGTCATCATAAAAAAGGGGGAGAATGTTGATCTTGAACCCTATTTTTTTATATTTACAAAATAATGGATAATACTAATATCTTTTCAAGAAATATTTTCAGTTATGAAGCAAATCAGATTTAAAGATTAAGCACATTTGAAAGGGACAAAGTATGCTGAAACTGTCGGACGCTCAAGAAGAAAGGATTGGACGTCCGATACTCATTGCGCAACTTCGGACGCTTAAAGAACTCCATCACCGGCCGTCCGATAGGATCCTTCGAAATCGATGAAACCATCGGACGCTGAATGTGTCTCCACCGGACGTCCGATAGAAACAAGATGATTTCTCAAATCTCTTTGTTTGCTGTCGGATGCACAAAGAGCTTGCACCAGACGTCCTAAAGATTTCAAAAAAATTTCTTTAACTTACTGCCTGCGTTCGGAAGCACAAAATCAGCCTACCAGACGTTCGACACTCCCAACGGCTAGTTGACTGTTCAGCTACTTTCTATCCGTTGGAAGTATTAATGAAACGCTTTCTTGGTCTCCTATAAATAGTGCATGATCAGAAGGTTCAAACAACTTTTGCACACTGAAAATACAAAAGATCTAGAGTGATTTTAGTGAAAAAATACTCTTCAAAGAAGATTTATAGTTTTAGTGGTGTAAGGTTCATTTTAAGCTTTTCATTTGTAAGTGAATACTTCATGAGTGTAGCTCTGTGAAGGGTGTCCTGAGGGATAGTAAAACGTCCTGACTTGACCGAGTGGAGTTCGGGGCCAGGAGGAGGTGAACCTTCCTTTGTACACAAGAGTGATTGTAATTCATCAACTTGAAATAGTTTGTTTGAATTAACCTACAAGCTCAAAAGGAGTTGGGTAGTTAATTGGTTTGCTATTCTTTCCTTTTAATTTACTTATTGTTACATTTGAAATCTGTACTTTGTTTATCTCTTCTACTCACAAGCACTTGTACTTTCTCATCAACTGCTCCATTGTGTGGTCGCCTAGAAAAGAGGGTTGTTTTCGGGCCTAACACCTGTAGTTCAGATCGCAACGGAACTAGGGCAAAAACGCGCAAGACAGTCCCAATTGTTTCAATTCAGGTTACCGAACAGGCCCTGGTTGAACGACCATAATTCATGACTCATAAATTAGAATCAAGAAATTCTAGAGGCGTTGGAAAGCTCATTTATAAGACTATAACTTTTATGTTTTGACCAAAAGGTGAATCAGTACAGAGTATAGAGAAAAATGGGTCCAAAATTCATACACAGAATTGACCGGCTTCAACGGCAGTTCTGGCACCTTACATTGTTTTGGGCATAACTGGAGCTACAGAACTCGGATTTGGACGTGTTTTATACCGTTTTGAAGATAAAATAAAGATCTACAAGTCTTATGAAGACCTCAATACCTAGTTCCTTCGTTAACCAACGTCACCAAATCCCAAATTTTGCTTTGCCATTTGGGTTTCAATTAGAACTCAGGCTACACTATTCGAATTGGGCTAAAATTTTGCAGGCACAATAAGGACTTAAGAAGCTACAACTTTCATGTTTTGGGCAGACTCTGAATCAATACGTAGCACAAAGAAAAATGGAGCCAAAGTTTGGGTTCTGGGCTGCCCTGTTTTCCAGATAGAACGGTTTCGCGTGCCATAAGCGCATGGTTCGTTTCTATAGTTCTCATGCAAGTTTTTTAACCAACTTCATACCAAATAAACACACATAAACCACCTCCTATTTTCCCTACAATAAAACCGAAATTCCTTTCCCAATTTAATCCCAAAACTTACCGAACACTAACCATGATATAGATTCTAATCTCACTAACTCTAACTACTTCAAAACTTAACCAAATCACTAAAGGAAAGCATAAAGTAAGAAGCCCTAATTTTTTCTACCCTTGATCAAAATTTCAGCAACATTACCATCAAAATAAACCATGAAATTACTCTATAACCATCATATATTCACCATAAAAAGTTCCAACCACAACAAAAGCATCACTTCACATGGTTTCAAGACTTAATCACCAGGAGTTAACTTTCAAATAAGATGATTTACCTTCAATCAAGCCTTGTTGATAATCAAACCACAACAGTCAAGTGTCCAAGTTGCTACCCTAAGCTCCACAATCGACATGGATGGCTAGAGGTTGATAAATTTTGAAGGAATTTTCTTTTCTCCCTTGCTCTCAATCTCGGCTCTCTCTCTCTCTCTTTTTCCTTTGATGTTTAGTTGGTTAATAATTTAGGTTTCTCTTGTATGTTCTAGACTATGATATAAGTCAAGACCATTAGAGATATTTTCCACCCAACCAATCATATAAAAGATGGTATTTTACTTCCTAGCCCTTGCCACTTTATTTTAGTTTTCTCACACTCTTACCCACAAACATTTAAAAATCTTTCAATTAACTCCATAGGATACAACTTAATCTAGTCCAAAATACTTCATTACACTTAATCATTTCATTAATCACCCTCATTTTTAATCATCCATTCTTAATCATCCCTTATTCCACATAAAAGCAACTCAACAACACATTTTTTTTTAATATGGGCAAAATCAAAGGCTTTAAATCCAACTTAGGGTTTCTAATAGATTATAACACTAGAGGTTTTGCTAGTCTAGCATTTTCTAACCTTTTAAAACCTACTTAACTTTTGAAAAATAAATCGAATCCTATATTTACCTGTACCAAAACACCCACTAGTATATCTAATTTTTAACTACAACTCGAACTTGTGATTAATACAAAAGTTAGGGTTTTATAAATAATCCAAATTAGGGTTTCCTAATAAATTAGTACAAAATAGAACAAAATGCTCTTAATATCACATAATATCGAAATTAATGACTAACCGGGGTCTTACAACCTCCTACTCTTAGAACAATTTCGTTTTCGAAATTAATACCTTTGTTCGTGAACAGAGAAGAATACTTCTTTTTCATGTCTTTCTCCACTTCCCAGGTGGCCTCCTCCATATTATGATTTCTCCATAAAATCTTCTCCAAAGGTATCCGTTTATTCCTTAGTTCTTTCACCTTTCGATCCAAAATCTGTACTGGTTGCTCTTCACAGGTGAGGGTTTCATCTAACTTCACGTCCTCAAGGTGTAGAATGTGAGTGGGGTCAGGATGGTATTTCTTGAGTAATGAAACATGGAAGACATTGTGAATTCGGGACATACTGACAAGTAGTTCCAATTGATATGCCACCGCCCCAACTCGTCGTTGAATTTTATACGACCCTATATATCGGGGTTTCAATTTCTTTCCTTTCCTAGCCGAAATAGTCCCCTTTAGGGGTGTAACCTTTAGGAACACCATATCTCCCACCTCAAACTCCAGATCTTTTCTTCGATGATCGGCATAACTTTTCTGCCGGCTCTGAGTTGTTTGTATTTTCTGGCGAATGATTTTGACTTTTTCTATTGCTTCTTCAATCCACGGTACTGTGGTCCAATCCAACATCTTTCTCTCACCTAGTTCATCCCAAAAGATTGGTGAGCGGCACTTGCGCCCATACAAGGTTTCATACTGTGCCATTTGTATGGTAGAGTGATAGCTGTTGTTATAGGTAAACTCGATCAGAGTGAGGTGTTGGCTCCAGTTCCCTCCAAAACTCATAACACATGATCGAAACATGTCCTCAAGGGTTTGTATAGTTCTCTCCGATTGTCCATCTGTCTGATGATGGTAAGCTGTACTTAAGTGAAGTTTAGAGCCCATAGCTTCTTGCATCCTTTGCCAGAATCGTGACACGAAACAGGGATCTCTGTCGGAGACAATACTCACCGGCACTCCATGTAGCCGTATAATTCTCTCTAGATATAGCTGAACTAGTTTTTTTACGGAGTACTTCATGTTCACAGGGAGGAAATGGGCCGATTTGGTTAAACGGTCCACAATGATCCACATGGCATCATGTCCTTTTTGTGTCCGTGGTAATCTTGAAACAAAATCCATCGTAATGTTTTTCCACTTCCACTCTAGCACTTCTAAGGGCTGGAGTAACCCTGAGGATTTTTGGTGCTCAGCTTTAATCTGCTGACAAGTTAGACATGTTTGTACAAATTGAGCTACCTCCTTCTTCATACCATCCCACCAATATATACTTTTTCAAATCTTGGTACATTTTTGTCGTACCCGGATGTACAGTATATCGTGATCGGTGAGCTTTTTCCAATATCTCCCTTTTAATGTCTTTATCCTGTGGCACAACCAACCGATTGTGATACCTTAATATCCCACTGAGTTCACATTTAAGTCAGATATCGTCTCTTTTCCAACTTTCTCCTTCCATTTTTGTACTTGAACATCATCCTTCTGAGTTACTTTTATACGAGGTATTAGAGTAGAAGTTATTTTAAGATTGCTAAAAAGCACTGTCGATGATTTGAGTTGCGGATTCCATTCCCCAGCTTATCTAATAACTCCCACCCTTTTACCTGCAAACTGGACACTTGAGCTTTATGGCTAAGAGCATCAGCTACTATATTAACATTTCCTGGATGATACTTAATAGTGCAATCATAATCCTCCAGGAACTCCACCCACCGACGTTGCTTCAATTTTAACTCTTTTTGCGAAAATAAATACTTGAGACTCTTGTGGTCGGTGAATATCTCAAAAGTTATCCCGTACAGATAATGACGCCACTTTTGAAGAGCAAAAACTACGGCTGCTAATTTCAAATCATGGGTGAGATAGTTTTGCTCATGAGATTTCAACTTCCGGGATGCGTACGCTATCACCTGTCCATTTTGCATAAGTACACAGCCTAGACCCATCCGAGACGCATCCATATATACCACAAAATCATCCTTTCCGTTGGGCAATGTCAAAATTGGTGCGAAAGTTAATCGCCCTTTCAACTCTTGAAAGCTGGCCTCACACTTTGAAGTCCAGACAAATTGATTATGAATATTGGTCAAATCCGTTAGAGGTCCAGCTATCTTGAAAAAATCATTAATAAAGCGGCGATAATATCCTGCCTGCCCTAAAAAACTCCTAACTTTCGTTGGACTTTTTGGTCGTTTCCATTCTGTGACCACTTTCACCTTAGCGGGGTCCACCGCTATACCATTTTTTGAAATAACGTGGCTTAAAAAGGATACTTTCTCCAACCAAAACTCACATTTGCTAAATTTAGCATATAATTTGTATTCCTTAAGAGTGTGCAGTACTAGTCTCAAATGTTGTTCATGGTCCTCACGAGTCTTAGAGTAGACCAAAATATCATCGATGAATACCACAACAAATTGGTCCAAATATGGTTTAAAGATACGGTGCATAAGATCCATGAACGCGGTTGGAGCATTGGTCAATCCGAAGGACATGGCAGCAAATTCAAAATGTCCATACCGCGAATTAAAGGCGGTCTTAGGTACATCCTCCCTTCGTATCCTTAACTGGTAATATCCCTGCCGAAAATTCAATTTAGAAAATACAATTGCGCCTTGCAGTTGATCGAATAACTCATCAATAAGTGGCAGGAGATATTTGTTCTTAATGGTGAGATTATTCAACCCTCGGTAGTCAATGCACATTCGTAATCTTCCATTTTTTTTCTTTACAAACAACATCGGGGCTCCCCACGGTGATTCACTTTCCTGTATAAATCCTCGATCCAGCAATTCTTGCAACTGAATTTTCAACTCTCTAAGTTCTGCAGGAGCTATACGATACGGAATTTTCGATATTGGCTCTGCTCCAGGATGCAAATCAATCTTAAATTCTATTTCCCTTTCCGGAGGTAGTGATGTCAGTTCTTCGGGAAACATCTCAGAAAATTCACATACCACCGGTATATTTTCTACTTTCAACTGATCCACCGGAGCATTCATTAACATTGCCAAATAACCTTGTGTCTCCTTGTATAGCAATTTTCGAGCCCGAATCTCAGAGATAAGAGTAAAAGAAGTTAACTTTCTTCGTACATCTAATTGTTATGTGGGCTCACCCGGTATATGAAAGTCAACCTTTTTAGTACGGCAATTCAACCGTGCATAATATTTGGCCAACCAGTCCATTCCTAGAATGATATCATATCCCTTAAAAGAGCTAACTCAATAAGGTCCATCAACAATTTTCGTTCTCCTATCCATACCTCACACCCCTTGTATACTACATTGGCAATTAAACTCTTATTGGTAATAGGAGTTTTTATTTCTAAATCATACGGTAATTTTTCAGTTTTAACATCTACATGACCTATAAATTCAGGGTTTACAAAAGAGTGTGTGGCACCAGAGTCAATTAAGACACTTACGGTACGCAGAAAAAGAGATAGCGTACCTTCGATGACTGCCGAAGGGTCAGTCACCTCTTGTTGACCCATTGCATATACTCTAGCCTGTACTCTAGGTCGATTTCCCCCTACGTTTGTCGGCTTAGTTGTGGTCCCTCCTGTCGGTGGCTTAGGTCCCTCCTTCCGCATCTTAGGGCATTGAGCAATCAGATATTCCGTACTGCTACATTTAAAGCATTTTCATACCGAACTATTTTTCCAACAATTATCGGCAGTGTGATTGCCCCCACAGAAACTACAAGTCTGCTTAATTCCTGTATTCGACTCTCTATGCTTGGTTCCCCTCTGGGGCCCTTGCCCTTCCTGACCCATTCCAACATTACCCCGATTTGGGGTCCCTGCGGGTTGTGGACCACCCGTCCCTCGACCCATCTTAGAAGGTGGTTCGTTTCTCGAACTCGGTCCGGCCATGAAGTTGCTAATGCTAGGTTGCCTCCTTTTCCGATCATGGAAGGGTTTGACTTGTCCCCTGGCAATCTCAATTCTCTGAGCCTTTTCTAGTGCCTGGCTAAACGTGTCCAACTGAGCAGTCGCTAAAGCCTCCTGAATCTCCACATTTAAGTCTTGAATGAAGCGGCGAATTCGCTTCTGCTCTGTTAGTACCAAGTCCGGCGTGAAGCGAGAGAGTTTCGTAAACTGAGTCTCGTATTCCGCCACGCTGGATGTCCCTTGGCGCAGGCGGATAAAATCACCCTCATGTCTCTCTTGTACAATGGGTAGCAAATATTTCTCATTAAATTCCCGTGTAAAATTGACCTATGTCCAGGGGGTCTGTTCCCCCTCCCACTTAGTCTTCATCGCATTCCACCAAGCTCGGGCGGCCCCCTCAAATTGAAAAACAGTGAAAGATATTTGCCGCTCCTCTGAATACCCAAGTGCGGCAAATATATCCAACATGCGATCCAGCCAACCCCCCGCTACGTCAGGGTTGGGCCCATCTATAAATTTCGGGGGTGCAAACTTCTGGAACCGTTCTAAGGCACAGTTCTCTCCCTCGTGATTGCCCGTATTATTTCCAGGGTTCCGGCATTACTCCCCTGGCCCTGACCCTGTTGGTTAACCATCCGTTCTAATAGGTTAGCCATTCGCTGGATGGCTGTAGCTACCTGATCCGGCTCATTGGGGAACTGTAGCTCGTGGTGGTGCCTCTGCGGCCACATCTAGCAGGACCTTACAGTCCAGCATGATTCCCCAGTCCCGCTCTCTCAACTGCCTTTTCATAGCGAAGAGGTGCTGGTATGTGTCTTGGAGCTGGCGACGGAAGGAATCCGTTCACTCCTCTTCCTCGCGTAGGCTCTACTCTAGTTCCCTAATCCACAAAGCCTGTCCATGAGCCACTCCCCTAGCCTCCTCAAGGAGCCTGCCTAGGCGATCGTGCGCCTTGCCTAGGCGACGTCGCTCGTCATCCACAACCAGAACGACCTCATCAGAGTAGCCATACGTATGGCGACACTCGCAGGATCGGTGCGGCATTCGACCAAAGGGTGAATACAAAGTGTAGGGCTTCCCAAACCTCTTTTGATATCGGATCACCCGCCTGCGCAATACCCGATTCACCGAGCCCCCAGCACTCGGAGATCTCGGTCCTGATCTCGATCCCACGCCGCTGGGTCCCGCACCACTAGAACTGTTCGGATCCATACCTACAAAATATTAATTCGTCAGTTCACCGACATTTCAGTTTAAAATAGATCATTCATTTTAAAAGAATCAAATATGCCTAGTGCCTGTCACGGATATCCCGATTACCCAAGTTTCCTAACCTAACCTGTTCTGATACCACCTGTGACGACCCCACCGCACCCAGAGGCATACCAATGGGGTTAACGGACCGTGTGCTTAGCTCGCGCTAGGATTCAAAAGCACAAAGCAATAAAACTATATAAACCAAAAAATTTCTATTCACAATATATATACAACCCCAAAAGAGTTCTTTTTATATCCTCAAAAGTAGCTATTCAGACCACTACCTTACACTATGATAACAACCAGCAGAAAGTAGACCCTAAGGAGGGTTCTTATACAAATCACCAAAACAAAAAGAAACATCTTAATTGTCCACTATGACCAACGAAAACTCCCTATACTAGTGATAGTCCCAAAAGAGTCCCCGCGTCGTTTCCTGATAAGGAAAACAAAGAAAAAGGGTAAGATAGAATCTTAGTAAGTACACTGTAGACACCAAATTTTTGGTGTAATTTCATTTACTATTTATTTTTAGTTTTTTTATTTGTCGTGTTAGTTTTATTCGATTTTTAGTTTTTAGTTTATAGTTTTATTTTTATTTTTAAGTTTTTAGCATAGAATTTCTTGAAATGAAAAAAAAAAGAGAAAAAGGAAAAATCATGAAAAATGAAAAAAAAAGAAAAATCATAAAAAAAAGAAAAAAAGAAAAGGAAAAGGGAAAAATAGCAATTTTGTTTTATTCATTTCTGCTTAATTTATCTTTTATTTTTGTTTGGTTCATTTAGAAAAAAAGAAAAAGGGGAAAACGATGAAAATGGAAAATGAAAAAAGGGGGAAATGGGATTTTACACTTTGTTGTTTCTAGTTTTTATTTTTTCATCCAATGTTAATTAAGTTGTTTATTATTATTATTATTATTATTATTATTTATTTTTATTTTAATTAATCTTAAAAAAAAAGAGAAATGCGGCATGAAAGCTGCGTATTGCCGCAGCTTGCAAGAAAGGGCTCATCGCAGCCCCTTATCTGCAAAATATAGAAGAGTGTTTAAGGGTTTTAGGGTAGAGGATTCCCATATAAAATAGGAAAAGAAAGGCAGCCGACAGAGAGAGTTAAGGGGGGAGTGAAGGTCGACAACAGCAAAGGAAAAGAAAAGCTACGGAGAAAGCTGAGGGAGAGGTTGACGGCCGCAAATCTGGAAAGAAAAGAAAAAGAAAACAGCGACAGAGTAGAGAGTATAGGGGGAGGTCGGCTGAGAGGTTGAAAAAGGGTGGAAAGAGAGGCTGAAGTAGAGAGGCTAGAGAGGGCTGGGCTGAAAAAGGAAAGAGAGAGAGCCGAGGGATAGGGAGAGCTAGAGAGGTTGGCGGCTAAGAGAGGTGGCTGAAGAAAGAAATCTGGGAAAAAGGGAGGAACCGTGATAAGGATGAGAGGGAGAGAGGGTTATGAGAGACTCTGAAGAACGAACAAGAGAAAGGAGGAGAAAGGGAGAAGGCAAAAGGAGGCGAGAAGGAATCAGCGAGGGAAAGGGAAAATCTTGCCAAAGAAGATTTCGAGCCAGGCTTGTTCATCGGTCCACTTCATCTCCTCTTTCCGATCATGCTTCAGACCTTTAGGAGGGTTTTTTCATTTCTGCAACATTTGGGATTGCTATGAAGGAGTTTTGTTCAGAAAAAAGTCAGGGAAAACAACTCCAGACCTGTTGAATTGAAGCTTCAAGTCGCGGTTCCATCAGTACCAGCGGGAAATTTTGCAGCTTTCCATCAGTAGTTTTTCGCACGCGAATCTGCTTATCCTACTGCGTCACGATCCGTCGTTCAAAACATCAGGGGTAATCTCAAAATTCTTTTCCGCCATACAAGTTCAGCTTTATGACAGATTTCCTTTTTTCTTTTGTTCTCTGCATTTCGTGTTCCTTATTTGCTGTTTATCTCCATTTCTTTTGTTATAATCTTGCGATAGAGTGTATCATTTGATTTGTTTGATGTTGGGAGTTGTATCTTTAAGTTGTTTTCAGTTCAAAGTTGATGTTTGTTCGGATGTTTTGTCTTGATGAAGTCGCGGTGGGCATAAAACCAGAAAACTGCAAAAAATTGTCGGCTTTATCATTTTTGTCATGTGTGAATTACTCATGCTCACTTGGTTGCTGCTATCCTCTCTTCCCTTCCCTTAGTTGTTATGTGAGTTTTGCTCATTGGTTGTGTGTGGGGTAGGTCAGTAAAACAATAAGTTTTGCTTGCTGTTTTGGTACAAAAGCTACGCGAGTGGAGCTGCAATATCTGCGGTAAAACAAACAAAAATTTTTGCATTCCCTTTGCTGTTTTTCTTTCCTGCGGCTACTCACCAAGGTTTCAGCCATCCAAATTCGCTGGTTGATCTTATGTTGGAAAGAGGAATTGGATAAGAGGTGTTGGGTTTGCATGTTTGGGAGTTGAAATACTTGAACTAGGATCAAATGCATGCTGGAAAATAAATTTTAGATTGCCAAACCATTTGTTTGTGTGAGTATGCTTCCAGAATTTTGCATCAGTCCCCTCTACGTTGTTGCTTGTTTGGATGTTGAAGTGATGTGTCTTGTTGTATGGCTTCAAACTATGATTTTATCTGAAAAATCTTCGAGCCAGGCTGCATATTTTGTCCAAAAGCTGCACTTCATCCTCACGCTTTTGCTGTTTTTCTTTTTCTTCCTGCAACTGCTCACATGAACATTTCTGTCCAGAATTTCTGTATCAGTTTCTTCTATGTTTCTGTTTTATTTGGATGGCGGAATCATGTGTCTTATTGTCTAGTTAGAAATCATGATTTCGGTTGGGAAAAGCTTCGAGCAAAGCCATGTGTTTGTATCTGAAACATGAATTTTTTTTTTGAGCAAAGCTTTTTCGCACAACAGGTTTCATTTTCGATTGCAGAAACTAGTTTTGTGCTTGTTATTTGCATGAAATTTCTCCATAAATTGCATTGTTAAGGAATGATAATCAATGCTTGGCTGGATTTAATTCAAAGAGTGTTATGTAAAACTCATTGTTGGAAGGTGATTAATGGCCGAAAGCTTTCTTCAATACTGGTTTTGTTGCAGAGAGTATTTTCGGTGATTGCATGAGATTTGCATGGAAAAGGTTTTCAAAAATTTGCACTTTGCTCCCTCTAGTCTCTAGTAATACTACAAAGGCCCAATTACATTCCATTTTCTTGCAATTAGGTCCTAGGATAGTTGCAATTAGATCCATTGCTTGACTTTTTCTTTGTTTATGGACCTTTAAAGTTCCCAAAATGTTTCATTGGGACTTGAGTGATTGGTTAAGGTACTTTTTGGGTCTTTAGTAGATGCTATATTTGGAAATTGAACGGGTTATTCTGTTTTCGTGGTCTTTAAGCATTTTTTTGAGCTCATTCAAGTTGCAATTAGGTGGGTTTTGATGTTTTTGCTTATACTTTACTTTTAAATTGATGCCTTGACCCCTTTATTGTTTTGAAGCCATTGTCCTTCATTTGCTTACCATTAGGGGAAGGTATAATTTCTTTTATCTTTGTTTGTCTCTCCTATATGATCCAATGTGCTAAGTGAATTGCATGTCTACTTTGTTTTCTTTACATTTCTTTAATTCCTTTCATTCCTTTTATTTACTTTTGCTTTATTAAGTTTTTTCTTTATGGGGTATGTGTACACCTCTTGGCTTGTAATAGATAGGGTTTGGAGGAGCATTCGATGAAGAGCTGTTGAAGACTTGTGCCTAGCTAGCAAATGTAATAGTTAGGGCCTTAATCACCTTATGTGTCTTGCATGTCTATGTGCTATATGTTTAATCGTTTTCTTAGGTTTTGGCATTTAGATATGCATGCTAAGTGTTATGTGCTATGTGATCGACATGTCTACTCGCTTTCCATATCCTTGAATGAATGTGATGAATGTACGTTTCCACTAGTCCAACGCTAGTCGGAATTCATAGAATGGGCTAGTCCAACGCTAGACCCTTAGGGATTTCCCCTCGTTAGTACATGTTTGCATGTTCATTACATGTCATGCATTCTTTTTAGTTTTGTCATTTTTTGCATGCCCCCGACTCCCTTTCCCCTCACTTTAGGACTTGCATCTCATGCTAGTTAGGGTACATTTGCCTGAAGAGTCCCCTTCTGATAAGGGAAACGAGCGAGTGTGGCTACTCGATAGCCTTAGCACGCTAGTTTTGCTTTCTAATCAAAGGGAAAATCGAAGTCGAAAAGTTAGTAGTCAATCCCATACCCGACCTGATGCATTCCTTTAGGTTCATTCATTCTCATTTATCACTTACTCATTTTTTTTCCAATTCACATTTCCTCATCACTTTTCCTTTCCTTATTGTTCAATTTGATTTCTACTTCACAAAATTGCACTTAATTACACCTATATGCACTTATCACTATATTTCATACACTTGCACACAAACACTTGGATTTTTCATACAATTTCACACATGCACCTTTTCATACACTTGCACAC